CCAAGGCTGAAGACCTGAGCTTGTCCCATAACCACACAGTGCAAGGAGAGGATTGACTCTTGCAAGTTGAACCTTGACCTTCACTGTGGCGTGTCCATGACCATGTATGTAACCACATAGACACAGATACAGACGTACAGACACACACAGACACATACAGACACACACAGATACACACAAGTAAGTAAACGTAAAGAAAGAATATTTAAAGATCCATCTGATCTTGTAGTTTTGTTTGTGGTTTTTGTTATTGCTTTAATCTTGTTATAGACCAAAGCCATTTTCTTTAATTTTATGGATTTATGTCTTTCATTCTGAGTTCCTCATCTTCTAAAACAATCAAATCTTCCTTTCAGGAATCTTTTGCTCTTTTTGTCCCCACTTTATTTATTTCAACTCCGATCATTTCCCCCTAATTTTGTATCTCATGATTCTAGAATCTCAAGGTGGGACATGAGGTTATTTATCTGAGACATCCTTGATATTGTTGTTGTTTTGAGACAAGATCTCCTTATGGAGGCCAGGCTGGCCCCACACTTATGTGCCTTCTGTTTCAGCCTTCCAAGTGGTGAGATTACAGGGCATGTACCATCATGCCTGGTTCATGATTTCAAATCTAGCCATAGCCATAAAACCTCTTAGAACTGCCTTCTCTGTACCCCAGGGGTTTGTCACATTGTCTTTTCATTTGACTCTAAGAATTTCTCATTGTCGTTCTTGATTTATACAATGACCCACTGTTCAATCTCCATGTGTTTGCACATTTTCTGTAGTTTCACAAACTGTTAATTTCTAGTTCTATTCAAATATGATCTATTGATAAGATACAAAAAATTAGTTGATTTGAAAAATTTGTTAAGGCTTTAAGTACGATTTATTTGGGATCTGGTGGGAAGAATGTGTGTTTTGCAGATGCTAGAATATTTGTGTGTGTGTGTCTGTGTGCATGTTTGTATTCACAGGCATGTGCATGCATGTGGAGGCCAGAGGTCAACACTGGGTTATTCCTCAATTGCTCAGCACCTCATTTTTTGAGACAGAAGGCTCCCACTGAACTTGGAGCTCATTCATTCACTGAGGTTTTCTGGCCATGAGCTCCAGGGAGCTACCTAGCTGCCCTTCCCTGCTCCAGCATAGGAGCCAACATGGACTGTCATTTTGGCTTTTTATGTGGGTACTAGGGACTGAACTCAGGGCTTCCCGGTTGCATGGCACGTTCTTTACCAAATGAGCAATCCTAGCTCCCGTAAATTGCTCTCTCACGGTTATTAAATGTGGTGTTCTGATTAATAAAATATTCTAGTTATAATCATTATTTTATTATATAACTTGGATTACTAATTAAAAAAAAGCATGGGCATTAGAAATAACCTATATTAACCAGGTGTGGTGGTACACACCTTTAATCCAGGCATTTGGGAGGCAGAGGCAGGCAGGTTTCTGAGAGTATCAGATTAGCCAGGGCTATACATTAAGACCCTGTCTCAAACAAACAAACAAACAAACAAACAAACAAACAAAGAAAAGCAACAACATCATCCCTAAAATCAAAGCAAAAAAACTAATGTTACATTAAATTTGGACCTGGTAACAGGCTTGTAATCCCAGCTACTTGGGATGCTGAGGTGGGCAGATTACACGAAGCAGGGCTACAAAGTAAGTTCAAGGCCGTAGGAACTTAGCAAGACCTATATAAAAAATAAAGCATAAAATAGGCATCTGGATATATGGCTCAAATGAAACATCTTACATGAAAACTACTTGGGATTCAGAGGCAGGAGTTCAAAGTCATTTTCTGCCACTTTGTGAGGTAGAGACCATCCTGGGCTACACGAAACCCTGTCCCCAAACAAAATAACAACAACAAAACCCTCAAATTAACAAAGGAGTTAGTAGCATGAATGAAAAGGATGCTGTGGGGTCTCTGGCACCACTGTACACCGAGAAACTCTGAGAACTAGTTGGCTGGTACAAAGTATAGTGTTTGGAGTCTGAGGAACAGAGATGTTCACAAGGCAGTTCTTGCCTTTTAGAAGGTAGATCAGCTAATAAAGAGTTACAATTTAATGAATGTTTAAGTGATTATTTGGTTACGGTTATATACATGTTTTTTAAAGCTTTCTAAAAGCTGAAGCTCTCATCTCTGTCCTTTCCCCTTGAAATTTCTCCTAATTAACAAAACTACCCCTGCTTCAGGAATAGCTAATAGTGCTTTGTCTCTGATCTGCTGAACTAAAAGGAGCAGTCTGTCCAGTTTTTACTCTTATGTGTACGGCAACCGGCTGAAGTAGATGAAGATATTTGCAGGAGAGACTTCTGCTGAACGTTGCAGCTCTAGGAATCTCTAAAAAGCAGTCTGTTACATAAATTATGTCCCTTTTAACCTCTCTGTGTTCATTTACACAATTGATCATTGAAACTGCTTTAGAAATGTGTCTTCCAGAAGTGCAGCATATTTAAAAAGCTTCCTTAATATCACTGTGAAGTGAGTGCAATTTAGTGTTTATCTACTGCAGACACCAATGGATCCCACTTCTCCTAACTATAGTTCATCAACATTCCCATCAAATCACGACTGGAAATTCTCCCCCACTGCAGTCCCAGTTTGGTGCATGAGTATGAGAAGCAGCAGACTGTTTTCCATGATCATCGATTTTAAATATTTACTTGCTTCTACTGCATAATTTAGCACACTGGAGTTGGAAAGCAGTTTATATGGTAGCTGATTCCATGCCAGTGTTAGAGAATATAAAGTCCCTCTGTGACTCCTATGTGAAACTGCAAAAACGAAAGGCATTATCATTTCCTTTTCTAACCAATTAAAGTTTGTTTTACTATAAATCTACAGAAAGCCTATGCTTGCATTATATACACATATACCATAATTTTGTATAGTTACCATACAAATCCAAGCACTGATTCTTACGGCTTGTTAAGATAGTATGCCCAAAATATAGTCATTCTGGTAATAATAATGTGATTGCTAATCTTGGTGGTCGATTTGACTACATCTGGAATTAATTCAGGCTAAAGCTGCTGGGCACTCTAGTGAGGAATTTTCTTAAACAGATTATTTGAAGTAGAAAGATCCTCTGTACAACTGGACCACACGGAAGAAGGAAAACGCTTCATGCCCACTTGGTCCTACTTTCGCTGGCAAGCTCATCTATCCTGTTGCGGCCAGTACTAAATCCAACTTCTTTGGGATTCAAACGAAGACAGACCTCCAGGAATCTTCCAGGACTCCAGCACCAGACTGGGATTTCTGAGACCTTCAGTCTCATGGATTTAGCAACTACTAGTCGCCTTTCCAGTGTGAGACAGCCATTGTTGAACTACCTGGACTACATCCTGTAAGCCACTATCAGTTCTGTTGAAAGGACCAAGCAGATGCCATAACAGGCTGCTCAGTCTTCTCTCAGAGATCAGGCCTCAATTTCAGTTTCCTGAGGCTTGAGCAAGCAGTTTCTGGAAGGGCCATGAACAAAAGACTGCTCAAAGTTTAGCCAGATGTTTACTTTCTGGGGCCCCTCACCAACTTAGAGTTATGTGCAGTACGTGCTTGACCAGCCAGCCCCCATGGTGGCTCAAGGACAAAGCCTGGGACTTGTGCTGGACTGCCCCCAAAGTAATAAATTGTAACCACCAACCAGTAAATTCAAAGGTTACATACCCTCACCCAATTAAAAGAGAACAGAGATAAAGATAAACCAATCCGAGTTGCACCCTTGCAAAACTCCCCCAACCCCCCTGAAGGGCTTGTGGATTTTACCTTTAAAAAGTCAGCCACACAAAGAAAAAGCAAGTTCCTCCTGGCCTCACAACTACGAGTGAGTGCTTTGGATCGAGCTTCCCTGTCCGCGGCTTGTAAACAGAAATAAACCGTGCTAATTGCATTCTGAACCTAAGGTCTGTGGTGGTTTGTCTTTGGGGTCCCAATCTGGGCATAACACTGTTCCTTTAGAGAACCCTCATACAAGTCCTTAGAGAAGTTATAAAAGGGCTTGGGACAGCTTGTGAGATGCGTGTTACCTTCTCTAAGTCGTCAGAAAGTGTTCTGCATATCAAAACAAAATATCCAAGTAGATAAGGGAGCAGATACTTTGTTATCTATGCTAATAAATCTTCCACTTGTCTTGCCATACCCCTCCACTGATTATTTGGCTGTCCCATGTGAATGGTGAATAAATCGCTCTAAAAACTCTAGGTAGATGTCTGCATGAGAATAACAATAAAGATATTTTCCCCAGTGTTTGAGAAAAGATCACAAGTTTCCGGCCAGCCTGGCGGAATTTCGAGAGTCTGTCTTAAAACACCCCTGAATTCTAATCATGAAACACAGTTAAAATTAGAAGAATATATTTTGTATTCTAGGCTGTCATTCTCTAGCGGTTCAACTGTAGGGTAGCAGAGGCTGCTGTCTTTTTTTCCCCTTCTAGTTTCTACTCTTATTTCTTATGCATTGCTTCAACAGTTACTGAAAACGATATATTAGTAGAATTACATTTTGTCATTATTTAGTATTTCTCTCCACATTTCCTAAAGGCGGATCCTGCATTTCAATCCTTGACGAGAATCTGAATGTGAAAACTGAATGCACACGTCCCTAGATGCTCCACCAAGATGCAATCAGCACCCCTAACCACAGTTTCCTTGGTGCAGAGAGACTTAGTATTTTTATCCAAGAAGGTTTGGTCATAAGGACCCAGAGCTCTGTGCATGCTGGATCTTGTAGTCCCGAGGCCCCAACACTCACGGTGCGTGGCAGCTGGTAGCTTAGATACAGTAGTTACACCTGCGGGGGGCAGCTGTAAACGCTAACACGAGGCTGCCGCTCACAGTTGCACGACTCTGGGCTCTGTGCTTGCAGCCCAGGAGCCTAGGGCCCGGGACAGAGCTGCTTGCAGGATCGCGGCCTGCAGAGGCATCAGCGTCCCGTGCTACGGTGGCCGCACGGGGCCCTGTCCCGTACGTCCCGCGGTGCGTACGCGCTGCTCGGCGCCGCTGCTGGAGCCGGAGCGTATCCTGGTGTGGGGACTCCTGCGCCGCTGTACAGTTACCTGTCCCGTGTCGCCGCCAAGGGGTCGGCTTGAGGCTGGCGGAGTGGAGAAGGTTGGAGTTTGGTGTTTGTAGTCTCCGAATGGCCGGTTCTGCGAGGCCCTGCCCTTGGTGCAGACCCTGGCCAACCGTCTGGGTTCCTGGAGGGTGTTGGAGCTTCTTCCGATTCTTCTTCCTTGTGCGGGTCATCTTCGAGTTCTCCCTCGCGCTTTGAACTGTAAGCCTCTCAGTGGCCAGCTGTTCTATCCTTCTTGACCAGACCGGGAGCTGTTTTATCCCTAGCTGCCTCATCCCATTGACCCTTTCTGGTCTCACTGCCCCAGTTTCTTTCCATTTAAAACAAACAAACAAACAAAAGCGCGTGTGGGAAATGTTAGATCTCAATCTGTCCATCTGTAGCCCCATTGCCCCTTTGGGGGTAACTCCAGTCTGTACCACTCTACTCTGGCTGTACTAATGATGCTGGCTTCACTAGTTTGGCTTTTGCTCACTCTCACATGCCCACCTACATCTGAGGGTTTTTGAAGTTGGAAACTCAGGATATCATCTTCTGTGCGATGACAGATGTCGCAGGGTCAGTTCAGCATGACTTTGCTTGAGTTTATGTTTCTCAGGGTTTCTTTGTCTTACTTTTTTGTTATTTACTGATTACTTTTCCACGTGGGGTTCAGCGTTACCTCGGAGTTAAGAATATATCGCCTTATGGCTTTTTAATATTTGAATTACTTAGGTGGGGATTTTCTTCTGTTTGTTTACCTTTTCTGACTTGACATCCCCGTAGCATTTTGGATTGGTTTTGTGTCAGCTGATAGCAGATAGACACAAAGGAGCTATCCTTCCTTCCTGCTGCTTGTGATCTGTAATTAGATAATGAGTCTTTATGGGTCTTTGGAAGTACCCAGAGGGGTTGGGAAGGCTTTGAAATGTAAAGTCTCTGTATTTTCTGAGTTTCGAATTATAAAGCCCAAACAGGGAAGAGTGCTAATTAGTCCAGTGTCAGTAGCTAATTGACTGGTTCATCTGCCATAGAATTTGAAAACTGAAGTTAAAAATTGGGCAATGTGAGGGATGGTATAATTTAGTAAAAAGAGGTTAGAGGTCACTTAATTGATACTGTTTCTAAAAAAATGGGATGCATATGTATTTTAAAAGAGTATTTTTTATTTTTTATTTTTGTGTGAATGTTTTTCTACATGTTTCTGTTTCTGATGTCAGAAGAGGGCATCAGATCCCCTGGAACTGGAGTTACAGATGGTTGTGGGCCACCATGTGGGTGCTGGGAATCCAACTGAGGTCCTCTACAAGAATAGCCAGTGCTCTTAACCCCTGAGACAACTCTCCAGCCTGGATATATACTGAAAAATGTTTTGTGAAACTGTTTTGAGCTTTGTTTGCTCTAAGTAGTCTGATAGCTTTGGTCAACATTTTTGTATTACTGCTTTGCTTGTTAATGTTCTATGGATAGTTATTTTCCCTTCAATTTAAGTGACTTTTGCAGCTCCTCTTCTAATTATTGTGTTACAGCATTACAGTTTCTGATAGATAGTTTTCTTTCTTTTTTAAAAACTGTCTCATTATGCAACCTGGGCTGGCCCTAATTCTGTCTTCCTATCTCGGAGTCCAGAGTGTTGGGACACACAAAGGCGCGTGTGTGATACAATCTATAACTATCAATAAAATTAAAATCTACCCTTCCGAGTTGGGAATATTCCTAATAAATCTGAAGTGTTTTCAGCTATGTTTAAGATTATACACACATAATATTTTAGAATTGATGCATGCCTGTAATTCTATCACTCAGGAAGGAGGTTGATGCAGATGGAGTTCCACGAGTGAGGCCAGGCTAGGATACATAAATTTGTTCTAGGTCAGCTTGGGCTATAGAGTGAGAATGTCTCAAAAACATAACAAAACAAACAATAAACTCTCAACTACCCAACCCCCACCCCCCCAAAAAAATGACCTCTTCAAACAAACAAAAGTCAACATTTTTATTTTCAGAATTAATTCATTCATGGAATTCTTTATTGGAAAAAAGGTAAGAGGCTACATGACTACATAGGTTTTATATGTTTTTCTGAGAGTTTTGAGTTTCCAGTTGACTTTTTCCTGAGAGTTTATTCATTTACTAGGCATTCATTGGATTCTTACTGTATAATGAAATCATGACATTTATTGATCAGCACACCCTGCCTCCAGGAGGCATCTCTGTACCATATAATTTCAAAGCATTATTTCCACATTATATGAACTCAGTGAGCTATTATTATTGATATTTTGCATATGAAGAAGCTGAAACTCAAAGACTTTAAATCCATTTCTTTTGATGGTTCCTAATGCACTAAAGGGGCAAAGATTTTTTTTTTTTAAATCTTGGAATGCATAAAGAGCATTAGTTCAGTAAATATGTGCAAAGCAGCCATTTTATACTGCCCATATCTGTCTGTCTGTCTTTCTATTTATCCATCTATTTTATATCTATTCATCTATATTTATCATCTATCCTTCCATCTACCTACTTTATATGTATTTATCATCTACCTATCATCTATCACCCCCGACGAGATTTCATCTGTATCTTAAATAGTGGGTAGGGGTTTTGTTAAGTAGAAATTGTGAGGAAAGCAATTCCAGATAGAAGCACAAAGAGAAGATTCCTGAAGCTAAATTATGGAGGCCAGAGTAGAAGTGGCTTGTTTCTGTGTCGTCAGTTGTCACCCACTTAGCAGGTATACGATGCCTGCATTTGAAGGAAAAAACCCTTTGGACTGAACCGATGGCCAGAGCTCAGACTGAAGTGATGGGTTTCGTAGATCCTGAGCGATTACCTCAAGAATGGAAGGAATGTGAGAGCGGTTAGTGAAGGCGCCCTTGGCATGTATTTGCTATTGAGTGGTGGGGATGGGCTGGTAGCCTAGGGAGCAGAGCTAGTTGTCAGGTTTGAAGGAAGTAGAACAGGTAAGTGACTTGTAGATTCACCTGTTTTTTTTTTTTTTTTTTAAATTAAATCATAGGATTAAAAAAAAAACTTTCAAAATTCACTATTTTATGAGTTACTGTCAATTAAACAGGCCAAGATTGAAACTGAAATGCATCATATAGTTGACAGAGTTAAGTGACACAATTCTGTTACCAGAATTTATGTCATTAGGTACTCCTTATATTAGCAATTGAGCCTTATGACTACTTTATTTTTATTTTTAGGACTATTTATGAATCCATTTGTAGTGTTTACTTCACATATAACTTTTATTTGTTAACTGGGGATTCCTGTAGGTCACAGATGTAAAGTAGGTGAGTGTCCTAGTCAGGATTTCTATTGCTGTGATGAAACACCATGACCAAAAGAAATCTTAAAGGATGAATTTGTTTAGCTTATACATCTACATTGTAGTCCATCATTAAAGGAAGTCAGGACAGGAACTCAAACAGGGCAGGAACCTGGAGGCAGGAGCTGATGCAGAGGCCATGGAGTGGTGCCGCTTACTGGCTTGTTCATCATGGCTTGCTCAGCCTGCTCTCTTACAGAACCCAGGACCACCAGCCCAGGGATGACACCACCCACAAAGGGCTGGGCCCTTCCCCATTGATCACTAATTAAGAAAATGCCCTACAGCTGGATCTGATGGAGGCATCTTCTCAATCGAGATTCCCTCCTTTCAGATAACTCTAGCTTGTGTCAAGTTGTCTTGAAACTAGCCAACCCAGTGAGTAAAGTAGTCCATCACAACGGAACTTTCTTTGTAATAGAGAAGGCAGATATACACTAGATAGTCACATTTGAAGTTACCGCTATTGTCAAATGCTATTACAAAAGGACTTGATGCTATTTTTTTCCGAGGAAGAAATAAAGAGGGGAAGATTGACAATGAGAGAGTCCAGTAAGGAGAGTGTTAGAAAAGCCCACATGTGGGATGAGACTGTTTGGAGAAGGTAATAGTAAAGGCAGAAGTAGATGAACGTGATGGGTGAGGGAGAAGATGTCCTTGTCTACCCTAGGTAGTTATAAGACATAACTGGATGGATTGTGATGCATTCTTTGAGATAGAGAACACTGAAAGATCAAGTTTCCAGAGCTAAACCTTTTTATTAGTATTTTTATTGTGGCAGTGGTATTAAAATTTAATTTTATTATTAATCTATATTAACTTTTATGTAATTAATTTATATTAAAAATAGAAAAGTTAAGTTTTTTGTGTGTCATTACTTTACTCTGTGTGTGTGTGTGTGTGTGTGTGTGTGTGTGTGTATTTAAGACAGAGTCTCACTATGTAGCCAGTCCTGAAACTTACTATGTAGACCAGAATGGCCTCAAATCCACAGAGATCTGCCTGCCTGTGCCTCCTGAGTTTATTCTATTTGAATAATGGAATAGCACTCAGATTCTTTTGGCAGTCTTTTATCCTTGAATGCCGAGGGGTGGAGCTGTAGGTGAAAGCATCTGGAAATGTGTTGGCATCTGTTTTGATTCTACATGTGACATATTAAAACCATTTACAATAGTATAACTAGGTGTGGTGGTCTGAAGGAAGATGACCCCCATAGGCTCATAAAAAGTGGCATCATTTGAAAGGATTAGGACATGTGGCCTTGTTGGAGGAAGTGTGTCATTGGGGGTGGGCTTTGAGGTTTCAAATGCTCAAGCCAGGCCCAGTGTTTCTCTGCCTGTTGCCCGCAGATCCAAATGTAGAACTCGCGGCTACCTCTCCAGCACCATGTCTGCCTGTGTGCCGTCATGCTTCCCACCATGATGATAAATGGACTAAACCTCTGAAATGTAAACCTCTGAAATGTAAACCAGCCCCTATTAAATGTTTTCTTTTATGAAAGTTGCCTTGGTCATGGTGTCTTTTCACAGCAATAAAACCCTAAGACGCTGAGTGATACCTTATTAAATAACATTTTAGATTTTTGGCTTGAGATTTGGCAGTAAATAGGGCATCTGGCTATATTCTAACTTCTCTTACTTGGTTCATATATAAATACAAATGTACATAGAGGAATACAGACATTCTTTTTTCCTTCAGAATCTTTCAACTGTGTGATTTTTGATGGGTCAGTACAGTCAGCTTAGATTTCATATTTCACAGTGGTGATATTAGTGTAAAGTATATGACAAAGTACTTGTACTTTGGAGTCAGGATATCAGAGTCTAGGGTCTCTTTTTACTTACTGGAGTACAGACATACAGAGTTTTGCAAAACAGCTCAGACACGG